GCCTCCAGGCACAGTCCGCCCGCGATCTCCCGGATTTTGTAGATGTCGGAGAACAGCTCATCGTGGCTGATGAGGTCCCGGTAGATGATCATGATCGCGACAAGGAGACGACGGCGGCGCTAGCTGAGCAGGAGCCGAGATCTTTCTACTCTCGCCTTCATTGGACTGTCCTCCTCCCAAGAGACACCAGAGACTTTCCCCTTTTTGGGCTCATGTAAAAGAAAAAGGGAGGAGATGTTGTGGAATGTTAGGGAGGGAGGAAGTGTCTCTGGCCAGGACAGATTGCCTAAGCTCCAGATAAGTGCAAGCCTCCTAACAGCCTTTAATACAGGGTAGAGAAATCTCCCCTGTGTTTGGCTGCACCAGCTTGAGAAAGCTCGCCACCTGGGAAGACTGCTGCTGCATTTGTTGAGCTGGGAGTGGTCCACACGAGGCTGAGGTTCTCCTAAGCAAGCCACATGTCCTATGTCTGTAAGCCCACCCTATCCTGCCTTCCTGTGTATGTAAGTGCACTGCTTATCCCAATAAAATTGAGCTGGATTGACTCCCTGATCCTCTCCCGGAGTGGTGTATCTCTGTCATGCTTACTCCCATCAGGGTGTCACTGTTAAGTTGCCTGTGAGCTGACAGCTACACTCGAGCACCACAACAAGATAAAGGTAAGTAACCCAATTGAAAAATGGGCCCAGGATATGAACAGACACTTCACCAAAGAAGACATTCAGATGGCTAACAAACACGTGAAGAAATGTTCAAAATCCCTAGTTCTAAGAGAAATGCAAATCAAAACAACTATGAGGTATGATCTTAGCTCAGTAAGAATAGCAAAATTTAGTTGCACTGCAATCCCAGAGGTATGTGGTTTGAATCCACCAGATGCTTTGCTGGAGAAGGAGAGGCAGTCTCCTCCTATACCAGTCAGATCCGATTTGACAGTACACAAACAAAAAATAATAAAATAAAGAATAGCAAAATTTGACAGAACAGCAAACATCAAATGCTGGCCAGGTTGTGGAGAAACCAGAAGCCTTATTCACTATTGGTGGAAGTGTAAAATGGTACAACCAAAATGGGAGGCTGTATGGCACTTTCTCAAAAAGATGCAAATAGAAGTACCATTTGACCCAGCAATTCCACTACTGGGAATTTACCCCAAAGAGACCATAACCAACACCCAAGCAGATATATGCACACCCATGTTTATTGCTACTTTGTTAGCAATAGCAAAGAGCTGGAAAAACCCAAGTGCCCATCAACAAATGAATAAAGAAGCTCTGGTATATGCACACAATGGAATACTATGCAGCATTGAAAAACAACTCATGAAATATTATTCAAAATGGATGACCCTGGAGGACAATATGCTGAGTGAAATATCTCAGTCACAAAAGGACAAATATTGCAGAGGGCCACTGGTGTGAAATGGAACTGACATCAGGATTGAGGGAAGATAGAAAAGGAGGGGAGGAATGATGTATATTGCATTGAAACAGAGGAGAGATCTGTTTAAAAGGGATATATGAATGGGTATTCTTGTCATTACAGAAGTCCAGAGTGAAGACTGCATAGTGGAGTGAACTTGGGAGGGATTGATAACAATGAAAGAGTTTTTATTTCCAAGGAGAAGAGTGATTTAAGGAGGGGTGAGGGTGGGCAGGGAGAAAAGGACAACAATAACTGGAAATTTTAAGTCTTTGTAAACTTTATTAAAATTAATAAATTTAAAAAATAAAAGTTCCCTACTGCTTCTATGTTTTGGTTTGCTTGGCTCCACAGTCAACACCCTTGGCACCAGCAGCCAGGAAATGAAAAGATGTATTATGATGGGAAAGTTTGCGGTTAGAGACCTCTCTAAAGTGCTAAAGTGCAAGGATGTCAGTTTGGAGACTAAGGTGCACCTGGTACAAGCCATGGTCTTTGCAATCACTTGTTATGCATCAGAGAGCTGGACGATGACTAGGGATGATAGAAGGAGAATTGATGCTTTTGAGCTGTGGCGTTGGAGAAGAGTGTTGAACATACCATGGACTGCTAGGAAAATTATCAGGTTTGTCTTGGAGAGAGTGAAGCTGGGTTGCTCCTTGGAGGCAAATTTCTGAAGCTTCATCTGAGGTACTTTGGACATGTTTCAAGGAGGGACCAGTCCTTAGAGAGGGATGTCATGCTTGGGAGCGTAGAGGGACAATGCAGGAGGGGAAGACCCTCAATGAGATGGATTGATTCAGTGACTGAGGCAATAACGGGCACAGGTGTGTCAGAGATGGTGAGATTGGCACAGGATAGGGCAGAGTTTAGGGCGGTTGTACATAGGGTCCCTATGAGTCACAGGAGACTTACTAGCACATAACAACAACATTGCTTATAAGAAGCAAGATTACAATGGTGGGGGGGGGGGAGAGAAAATTGCCAGGTAGCAAATCACCAAGAGAATTCAATGCAAATGAAGCTCTTTCTATTGAAAACCTTCTGCTTGACTCAGGAGAGAGGGATTAGCAAATAAAATGCAAGAATCCTGCAAACATTTAAGGATTGCCTTGATGCCTCAGGGTGAATTCCAGCTTGTACCTTGTACTGTGTCTCCCCAACATCCTAACATAGTATTTGGTTTATTACAAGCATATAGTATGAAATCTGGCTTCCCATACACTAGAACACAACAAAGCATCTTCTCAGATTATAGATCTTATAATGTTACGAATCATTAAGAGGGGGATTGAGCAACAAAACAACAACAAAATCAGGATATATGGAATCTAAATAACTTCCTACTTGAGCTCTTTTGGATAATACAAAAATTTTAAAAGAAAAAAAAATTTAAATTTAAATATTTCAAATTTCATGAAGGAAATGAGAATGAAAACACGCCATACCATAATTTCTGGGACGTAGCAAAAAGTAATACTCAGAGGACAATTTACAGCTATGAATACATAAAATTAAAAAGAACTAAAACCCCCTTAACCCAATACGTAGAACGATTAGAAAAAAAACAGCCATCAAAGCCCACAGTCTCTAGAAGAAAAAAAAAAAGGTGATAGTTCAGAGCAGAAAAACTAAATAGAAAACAGTAGCTTGCAAGATAGAATTAGAAATACGTGACTCCTGGCACCAGGACTCTGCAGGGGGTGGAAGGAGGAGGGGAAAGGGGCAGAGAACACAGGACAGGCATCCATACGCAAGCTTTAACTTTTTAAATTTGGTTGCCAGCATTTAAAACTTAGGAACTTTACACCACACAAAAATTGCTAATTCTTGGAGTCTTGAAATGAAAGCTCTGGTAAATTAGGCCCACACTTCATCCAGCACCCCTCATCTGGATCTATGAGAGTAGCGTGTGCCTCCAGGTCACCCCCACTCCATGATCAGACCCCCGTGGAGGGTCAGCAGAGCAGAGAACTCTGATCCCATTGTCAGATGAAGACACTGAGCCCCAGGGAAGGCAAAACCCTGGCCAGGCTCCCTCAGCTCTTGGTGGGCTGAGCGGAGGCCAACATCAAACTCTGGGACTTTAAAAAAAAGGAAAAAGGGATTTTCTTAATAGACAAGTTCCTAAAGTAAGAAAAGGAAGTCAAGCCCGTTATTTAACCCTGGCCTCCCTCCAGAGTTGGTTATTGCTGGGGAGAGCGTGGCCCGTCCTCCTAGGTTTATCTCTGCTTCTGCAGACACACGGGTCTGGGCACACCCTGATGGTTCTGAGCAAACACCTGCAGTCTGGTCTTATCATCAATCACAGAGCCGGGATCCTGCTGTGGATGCCATTCTGCAACGTGCCCTTCTCAGGCCCTCCTTCTGTGGGAATCCTGGGATGTTCCCTCTCCTACCATCATCCTTCAGACCTCATCTGAGGGCTGATGGGGCTCTGTGGCCTGCCTCTCCGTGGACAAGGCACTCTGGGCCTGTCACAACCCTCTCAGTGCTTCCGTTTCAATAAAAAGTTAAGTGCCAAGAAAGTTATCAGAGAAAGGGCTAGTGGAATGACATCTGAATTCCTTGTACTTCAGAAGACGTTCTTGTTCCCTCAGCAGCAGCTCCCAGGACCAGCCTCAGACAGTGGCTCACACTCTCTCCCTCCACAGCTTCCTCCAAGGTCCAAGCATCTGTGCACCAACATAGACCTTCCTTCTGAGGCCACCTGGACTGGTCTCAGCTAGAATTAAAGGTAGGGTGAATTTATGTTTCTTACTCAAGAGATTTGGAAATTTCCTCATCTGTATGCCTTTAAGTTGTGGTGTTGGAGGAGAGTACTGAACATCCCACAGACGGCCAAAACAATGAAGAGAGAGATCATGAAAGAGGTGCAACCATAGGGGAGATCTGGTGGCTTAGTGGTGAGAATCAGCACTGCATTCCCAGAAGCGCATGGTTCAAATCCACCAAGATGTTCTGCCCAGGAAGGAGGGGCAATCTCCTTCTGTACCAGTCAGATCTGATTTGACGGTACACATACACAAAAATAATAAAATTAAAAAAATAAAAAAGAAAAGAAAAGAGGTGCAACCATGTGCTCCTTAAAGGCTAGGATGGTAAAGCTTCATCTCTCATACTCTGGGCATGTTTTTTGGCTATTCCGTGGAAAGAAACATCATACTTGGAAAGGTTTAGGGACAGTGAAAAAGAGAGGAAGACCTCAACCAGGATTTCCATGGAGATCACAGCCATGGACTTGAGTGTGTCCGCAATTCTGAGGATGGCGCAGGATAGGACAGGGTTCAGCTGTGTTGTCCAGAGTGTTGCTAGGAGTCATGGTCAACTCAACAGCATCTAACGCCAACAACTCCATCTCCACAGCTCAAGTGCACAGAACAAGAAAGGGGACCAACAAAACTGTGTTCAAATCCAGGCACCGCCACAACTTTGCTATATGACTAGGGGTTGATTAGCTGACTTCTGTGAGCTTTTCCTTCCTCTGTAACAGGATGACAGTAATTCTTTTCTTAGGGAGTTGTGAAAATGAGGTGATAGAAGCGTATCATAACCCTCTCCCGTCCTTGTATCCCCCCTTACCTGATGGTCGTCCTCTTGCTAAACACAAATAGGATCGTGCTGTACGGGACGTGATCAACCAACAGCAGCCCAGGACTGAGCATCATGT